ATCATACAAGCAACAGAGATGATGAAAGTGCAGGCTGGAAGGGCACATCAGAACAGTGCTTTTGGACAGTAATGCTCGCAGTGGCAAACCCGTTAAATTAACGTGTACGAATCGGGTGATTCAAGTCTATTCGAATCATGTGTTAAACATGGCATTACGTGAAACTCTTCTGTAAGACGGAGGAAGTTATCCAAATCACATGTTCGATCATTTCTTTCACTCTGCTGCACAAACGGAAGTTTCTCATGCATAATGCATTGATAAGCGCACAAGCATTTATTTTTTCGTACATGTTGCGTGGTTTGAGGCAACAATATATCCGATGTTACCACAAATCAAAACCCTTTGGTAAGGGTATGAAAACCCTAACAAAGAGACTGGGTCACATAGGTCTTGTTAGGCTCCCTGGCTGGGGACCTCGGGATAATCGTAATCGATGGTTAGAAACACTGAGTGATATGGCTGGATCTCGCAAACAGTGGCGTTCGTGCATCTCCTCAATTTATTTGCAACTTTAGACCACTGAACTTCCCCATTTTCTGTTCGACTCCACTTTTAACTTTCCTTTCTTCTCCTATTCTTCATCCAAATGGGCGGCCAAAAGACAGCTACCAAAACCGGCGCACGAATATGTGTGGTTGATGGTTGTACAAACTGAACTTTGATGATACTAACAGTGATATCAATTAATTAATTAACGCTAATAATAATTATATTGTTATCTTTTATTATCACTTTTATTGCGTTGCTTCTTCTCTAGAGTGCCTAACCGAGGGACCAACAAAAGTCGTTTGTCCCGTGACACATAAAAGCGAACACAGCTGAACAATACCGACACACATTATGAACAATGTCTGTGAGTCAGGCAAACTATATCGTGTTTGAAATATAAGATACAGAACAAACTTTGGGTAGCAATTAATTTTATCCGAAAGAACTTCACTGGTAGCCGTTTCCTGTTTTGTTATTTTAAGTATGTACAGCAGCGTTTTGTCTATCTTCCATTCAGGTCATAAATTTCGCGCTCCAACTTTGTAGCAAGAATGGTGAAAATCCTGTTCTACAACGCTTACATGTTTGCGCATCTCTCCGCTTACGAGAAAATTAGTTACTTTCTTCTATCACTTTTTAACTACACTGCAAGAATTACTTTTCACAATCACGCTAGTTTACAGAGAGACTCTGAAATATAAAAAGCCTGTCTCATCACATCTGCACATGTTNCGATTGAATACCTTGCACAATGCGGAAACGAGTTGTAACTAGTTTGATAGCTTCATACCTGGACTTTTGTGAACCATCACTGTTCGGTTGTTCTAAGGCAGTATTACGGCTCAGTTGAAAATTACAAACAACCGCTAGCTCGTAAATCACTATACTCTATTTCAGGAACTACCTCCATGGTGTTCTCCCTAAGCAATACTCTCATTGATGGTAGATCGCTTGGACATGCAGTTATAGATAATTTGTAAACCCTCAGAATTAAAATATCCAAAATGTGAATGTGAGATTTTGAACCCACACCCAATGACGGTGCTTGTCTGACGGGGATTTTCGCCGGTGAGGGGTTTTATTGGCTGAAGCCGTCAGAATTGAGGTGATGTATGCAAATGGATAGCCCACCGCTCTCATTGGGGTTGCTAGAACAAGGAGTAGAGTATAATGAATAATAAGTCTTTAGAGATCCGTACTCATGCCAATACATTTAGGTATATATCAGTACTTGTGTGTGCTCATTTGCTGGTTCTCGGTGGAACAATGTGAATAGACCATCGTCCGAACCGATTCCTGAACACCGCCCTGTTTGGCTGAACACCGGACCAATTAAGTCATTCACCAGTGCAGAGCTTTCACACCTAACTGGAACAAATCACACTGTGGGAGTGGTCTAGTCTTTTCGCCCCATGCATAAATTTCGTGGGCGATTATCAGGGCAGGTTTGCCGTCGGATGCTGACCACAACAGAAGCGGTGGGTATTTGTCTGCACAACCCCCCTCTGTATATACCTAGAAACATTTGCTAAAGCTCCCCTGGCCTACCCAGTCCCCCATACACAAATACACGCACCGTATCACAAGGACGCTCGATGATCGGATGGGTGGAAAAACAATTGTGACTGTGATGAATTCTGCTTACTGTCTCATGATTAAACCGTTTCTAGCAACACGTGTTATGATTTTTTCCAATGGTGATATGTCGAAATGTATTGTCATCAATACGAATCTCTCAAAACGACCCTGTTATCCACTCTGTTGTTTTCTTTGAAGTGTGCTCTGTGGCTGTCTCGACGATAGAAGTCTCTTATACTGTTAGTAATACATGTTACTCATAAAACTGGATCATAATCTTATAGTTGGTGCTTTTACATTCTGTTTATATGAACTTCTATGGATCCTGTCAAAAATTATAAGATTCGGTATTGCCGAGTCCATCCCTAACAGGTCAATTGTCAATAACTTACGAGGAATAAAAGTCATTACAAGGCAAGCCGAATCGGATTGCACTTACCTGATAACCCAGGATAAATGGGTATCCCGTAACTAACATGAAGCCATACAATGCAATAATGTAGATAGAATACACGCCTTAGCAACCACGTTAAGCATTGAAATACACGAACTAGAATGCTTGCCCAGATTGTTCAGATCAGTTGTAATGAATGCAAAACGGTGGCAGTAAATTTTATCGGTCAAACCAGTAGGTTACCGAGTAGTCCCCGGTATTCTGTTTACACTCTGATTACCGTGTCTCTTACGACACGCGCGCCCTTCGATTGTCTGCGCTACAGTCCCGAGCTCGCCATCGCGCTGAAATTTATCGCGTTTGTTTCATCAATATCACGATACTACGCGTGACTAGGATCTATAATTATTCTCGTCAGAACATGCTCCGATCGAAAACTGTGAATTCTGTGTCACCCGTTGATTGCTTGTTTGATGAGACCTATAAATGTGCTTGGATGAAAAAACGCAGACGGGCTGGATGGAAGGCTGTACTTACTTGCGCTGTACCGTCATTGGTCAACCCTAACGTTCGTTCGCTGTTCGCGGAAATCTCGGAATTGACTTCCACTCTGAACACACGCAATAATTCCAACACATGTGTGGTATGTGTACAGGAGACCTGGTTGAATCAAGACGTTGATGGTATGCTCCTGTGGATAGATAGCTTTGATTGTTACCAGTAGGATAGGTAACGAAGTAGGAAAAAAAACCGAAGGTGGCGTGGCGATCTACAGCAATGTTTCCTGATGCATCAAGTCAAAAGTGAAATATAACTATTCTGAAAAACACACTGTCTGTTCCTCCGTTTGTTTCCATCCCAAATTTTCCAGTCACAAAAGTACTATCATCACTAATGAGTACATATCTCCTTTGTGCCCTCAAACGGAAATCTCTGCTTTCTTTGGGGATCATTTCAATCATGCAGGCCATCAGCTTCTGTTTGATATACCTGACCTCCCTCGTCCTCCTATCAGAGGTAGTTCCGTGCACACGGGGTGATCACAAACTACCCCAACCTATTTTCTCTCAAACTAATGGCTCGGATTTCCACCACTGACCATTGCTTTCTTTCTTGTTATATCAAAGGTGTACACTTACACCGCTTACCAACCGTTCATAAGTTCTAATCAGATGAAATTTCATAAACTTTTTACCAAGTCACATCTCTTTCCTCAACCGTTTCATTGAGGTTGTTCAGTTATGCTTGGATTATTGTCCATCGCTTTTCAAATTTGTCATTCTGTTCGCTGAAACGATGAAATCTATCTTTCAGTTGTACTGCCGCCTGAAACCCATGTTTGTCTGTGACTTTAGAATTATTTCGTTCTTTTTGAAATCACCGAGGAGGCACAAAGATAGAGCACACAAACCTCGCTGTGCATCGGTTGTTAAGCGCTATTCTGACTTGATCAGGTCTAATATAATGCATCCGAATGCAATCTTCGCCGCCCAAATTCTGTGAAAACAAACAGCACCAGGCCTTTATGGCACGGTAATCTCCTTCTCTGAGGGAAGAACAAAAAACACTCGAATGCTACGGTGGACATCAACAGCCCCAATGCCACTTTCATCCACCGGCCGAATGAGAGCCAGACTACCTCCTTCCTGTGCAATGAATCCGATTCAGTGCCTTTTTCCAATGATGAAATCCTTAAGCTTCTCCAATCCTCCAATCCATGTTCAGCTGCAGACCCTGATTTTCCTCCGACACTTGAAATTTGGAGTAGCTTCCGTAGCCAATATGGAGACATCCCTTGTTAATGAATCCCTGTTTATCCAATCGATTTCTGATTCCTGGCGTCAAGTTATCATTGCTCCAATCTCCAAGTTCCCGTTCTCAACCATTCTTGTTCTATCGCGCCGACCTCTACAGCTCCAAAGCGGACTGAAAAAGCCATCCTGAGTCGCTTGCATTCAATTACCGCCATCCCTTATAACCCCCTCTAGTTTGCCTTTAGACCCGACAGATCTACAGAGAACGCCGTATTCCCCTTAATCCAATTTGTTAGTAGGTCAATGAACGATTCGGTCAAGTCTGTCCGAGGTGTTTTTCTTGACTATTCATCCGCGTTTGACTCTGTTTTTCGATCATCCCTTCTTTACGAACTTAATTCTTTTGACACTCCGAGACAGCTGGTCTCATGGCTTTCTGACTATTTCGCAGAGAGGGCCCAGTGCACTAAATCGGGAAGAAGGATATCAAAACCTGTAGCCAATAATTATGGTGTGCTTCAAGATGCTGTTCTATCTGCTTTCATTAGTGATATTTCGCCTTCCCCCTGCAGACATCCAAAGGCGTGCTGATTACGTCGTTTTGCTTCAGAAAATCTCATCTCGTTCGGAAATCAATTTTTTCACTGAAAATCTATCCCACATTCAACAGTTGCCTAATCAACCGGGTCTTAGTCTTAACACTTCTAGGTGAATAGAGTCTATCTTTAGTCTTTCCCTTTCTTCAGTTCCAGGCTACCCTTAACTGTGAACCTGTGTCTAGAATGACCCCAGTTCAGTACCGGGGTGTCACCAGGTAATCTCCGGTGTTAGATACACATTTACAATTGTATGGCAAAACTGAGACGGCTCTCTTTACAGTTACGCACACTCAGGCAAGCCTGAACCCCACAGTCAGTCCTGTCCTCTTTCGTTCACCAACGCATTTTCCCCATTCTACTCTATTGCTCCCTTGTGGTGTTTCGCAGCCTTTCAAAACAAGAATTCAAAACAATTCGCCGTAGTTTGATGATAATAAGACTTGCATCATTACTCTAAATCGAATCATTATTCAGAGAAAACAGTAATGGTCATATCAACTCGTGTTAAATTTGCCAATAAGATTTTAGACGACCCTGCTGATCTACTGAATAGAGAACTGTCATCTTATTGTTTCCATACATCCACGTGCTCCTCTTTTCGACATCTACTGTCTCATATGATCAATCATAAAAATCTCTCTGTAACCTACTTGACCCAACTGCTAACCAATAGGGAACTAGTAGCAAGTGAATTGCGTCAGAAATTTGTACATGGACCAAACCTCAGCGACAGACTTCACTTATATAAAACTGTACATTTTATAATCACGAAAAATGTCCATTGATTAGGAACAAAATTTGGGCTTACATATGTTTTCGGTGAATACTTTTTTAAGCATTTACAATCACACTTATATGAAATAATTTTTGTTTGACTCTATTGAAATTGTTTCATATAAATCTGTTTGTAAAGGCTTGAAAAGAAATTCACCGAAAAACATATGTTAACCTAAATTAAGTATATTTTGTCTAAACAGTACCCAGAGGACGAATGGAGTTGTGGAAAAGCTCGTTTCCAGTGATTCATAGTCATGCCAAATACATCACAATAAATATGACGCTGTGCATATATAAATTAGTATTCGACTATAAAACATCAAGAGAAAAAACATTTGTTTTGGGAAAGGGAAAATAACCTCATAGGTTATCTGGAGCTAATTTCGTATGACGACATTTTTGAACGTAATGTGAGCATGTGGGCTTTCAGGCATTATACAAATGTAAACAGTATATGCACAAGCAATTGGCAAGTAACGAGAGGGAGAAATTTTAATAATAGCCGTTTGTTCATTGTTACTGGCCATCAATTCGGTAGTATTTTGTCTTTAAAATCATGTTTTCATTCGACCGCAAATGCTCTTTATTACGGAAATTGGGGGACTGAGGTTTTCAAACACGATTAGCTAAATCATCAATTTAGTTTTCATGTGTTCACCAGGGATCCAAGCTTAGATCAATGGTACGCCATACTTGGTGATCTGCTTTTGGACTGGCCCGATTGTGGAGAACAGTTGGTAAATTTGACACACGTGGAAATCCATCCGCAGTATAACCGGTTAACCCGATACGACTACGACGTGGCCCTTGTCAGACTGGCCGCGGAAGCACGGATCGGATCTGCCGTACGACCGATATGTTTACCCCACGAGGAATCAACAAACAGCTCCGATAGAACAACACCAACAACAACAACAAAAACAACAGTGACGATGACGACTATGAACATAACTGACTGTTATGTGGCTGGATGGGGTAGAACTGAAAGTGAGTCAACTTCTACACAACGTGTAATTTGCATCCGCAGAGTAGTTTGACCGGATGATATCAATAACATTGGTACATCGGGATAATTTATAATCCACTAGTTGCTAATGTAGTCAAATTTGATAGAACTCCATAAAAATATTGAACATAGTGTAGTACACAGTTTTTACATCCATTCACCATGCACTTTCGTGCGCCGCTTTTGGTTACTGTCTTTTAGTCGAGAATTTGGATAAAAGAGCAGAATGACGACTAGAATGTTGAGAGTAAATTCAAGCGGAGGATGGAAAATTCATATAGACTGGGACTTCAAGCATATTGAGTAGATGCGCGAGCACCACTGTTTGCGACACAGCCTTATCATTCATTGGCTAACCACCGGTGGCCATAATCTCGGGGTCCCCATCCAGAGAGACTGACAGGACCTATGTGACCGAGTCTCTTGGTCAGTGTTTAAGTTTGACCGACCTTGACATTTTTTCATCCACTGACTGTCTCTGCAAACATCGATTGCCATGGCAACCTATTTGGTGACATGCGTAAAACATGCCCCAGCCAACGTAATCTATGGAGGTCGACCACTTGCCCCAGTGGACGACGGCGATTACCTGAATCTGTACACCTAGCCACAGCATTGCTCGTCCAGTTTCCCCACCAGACGTAGACAGTGGTGTTCGAACATCGATAATCTTTTTTTATCCTGTCCCCGTAGTGGCCAATTCTCTGCACAGCATAGCAGCACTGGTCGAACGGCTGCAGCATACCGCCAAATCTTAATGGACAGCCGAATGTCGTGATGGTGACGCAGAAGTTCCAAGTGGGTAAATACCAAACAAACCTTCTGTATGGGTGCCGAAACTTCTTCCTTAATGAGTCTGCCAGTGAGATAAAGTTGCCCAGGTAGTGAAATATGTCTACTCCCTCTACTACTTCACTACTTAGGGTGAGATTGAGGGTTAGGCCAACCCAATCGTGTATGAACATTTTACACTTTGAAGGGGCAAAACGCATAATATAAATGGATACACATTAACTCGAACTGTCCAGAAACACTTGCAACTTGTCCGGATTCTCATTTAGTTGCACAATGCCGTCTGCATATTCCAGTGTGCCGTCTGGGACCAAATCGATACAGCGATCCCCGCACGAGGATAGGTCAATTTCAAGAATTACATCTATCAGTAAGTTAAACAGAAACGGGAAGGGAAAGAAAGAGGTAAAACCTGATCAACAGCATTTTTCTGAATGATTGTATAGAGAACTTCAACTTCTTTAAAATATTCTACCCAAACGAGTTGACTCAAGAACAGTATTCACGTAGCTGGAACTTGAATACAGACCCAGAAGTGTTTCAGGGTTTTTTGAGCAGTCAGGTAGACACTATTTATTGTAAACTGACGGATCGACAAATGCATACCATCGGACACCTCAAAAGTTTCTGACGCAGAACAGATACTAAAAACTGTTCCGATTAGAAACGGATATTGGAAACAGTACCTCGTTACAGATACTGAACTGGCCCACATTAGTGAAGGAAAATGGAACAGAGAGTGGCGAACAAGATCGTTTTCAGTGACTTGTAGTTATGCCAATACATCATAATAAATACATCCATATATATATATATACACATATATATATACATATATATATATATATATATATATATATACTTCCAGGGAAATTTTGTTTAGTCATTCACATACAACTTCCAATTAAATCTTCTACAAAGACCATCAGGTAACGTTTGATGCGGTTAGTATCATCTAACCCACTTACAAAATATAGAATCATTGATTGATTCTTCAATGAACTGGCTCTGAAAGAGCTGTCTATCCAATGGTCACCCGGTGTCGCAACCAAGGTTGTTGTGACGAAAATACACTTCCTGGGTACAAGTATATGCATGAACTGAAAAAAGATTACCTGATACGCATGCCTGACGACCGGAAGGACTGCGAAACTGGTGCTTCCAGGGGAGTTTTGTTTAGGCATTCACACACACAGTCGACTACTGACTGGAATCCAGTCTAGAAGTAAACGTTCGGCCTTGACACTTA